GAACTCGGGAGGGCTTATATCAGGGAGGGATGCGACACAAATCCTTGGTCGTACGAGGATGGAGCACGTGATCGTTTGGAGATTGAATTTAATGGGGAGCAGTTGGCAGAAGGTAGACCACGGAGGAATGCCATGACTGCGAGAATTATTTGCACAAATTAGCAGGACATGAATTAAATTATTAGTATTTGTTCACCCACAATTGAATTATGTGTATCAAACGCAAAGATTACGACATTAATAAACTGTGATTTGGCTTTAGCGCAACGGTGGTACGAAGCATCCTAGCTGTGGTACATGGGTGTCCAATAGGAATAAACATTTTCAAATTTGTGTTTTTATCAGACAAGGCGTTCATGGGTCGACGGGAATAATATTAAAAGGACAAGTTGTTAATTCACTCCAGATATTGTTGAATGAATTTCAACACTTACTTTCAGAAGGGTCTCGTGTTTGGCCAATTATATTTTTGTATTTGCATTGAAGGGATATCCATAGTGCCTGGAGATAATTCACACGTGCTGGGGGAGAACGATGAACTACACTCCGGACAGAACGTCTGAAACGTACTCTCTGCACCACTTCTTACAAGCGCCGACTCACTGACCTGCAGGAGGATAGTGTCACATGCAGGCTCCATCTATGCATTAGCCTCCAACCCCACCTTCAAGTTTTGCTGGATTAAAGCATGGACACCTCAACACCCATATAGGGAGAGGGACTTCCTTTCCTCGACCCATTTGCCCAGACAATGGCTTTAGGTCTGACAATGCTGTACCATCACATTCATTGTACAAATACAACTACAGCCCTTTTGTCAATCTCCTATTGGGAGAGGGCCTCCCCACACCACGCAGGCCCTGTGGGCTATTTGACCATACTTCACCCCACTGGTCAGTGCGAGTCGTTGAAGGCGATAGCCTAGATGTGGGAACAACAACGGAGTTTTCCGCACTGCTCTCTGCTGCCAATAGCGTAGCCTCGCAGCAGCCCATTCCATGTTTCATTCATGGTGATTGCCCATCCAGGCACTGCCCATGCTCAATTCTGCTTAGCTTCTGAGATCTGTTGAAATTAAGCACATTCGCAATGATTTGACCCTTGTTTGTCAACAATGTTAGTTGACAAAAAATTCAGAAAAGCTAAAATTCAAGCAATCGGTGCAAGCGGGTAACAGCTCCAAATGTGGCCACAAGGCTAGCACAGAACTAACATTGTCACTGCAGGATTGCATGTACACTGTACAGTACTATAAAATACCGCATTGAAAAAAAAATTGAATGCACCACAGACGTCCACGCATAACATTAGTAGTCCACATTTGCCAGGTTATTTCCTGATAACCCATGAGGATGTTGAGTCCAGAATTATTCCAAGTTCCTTAAATAGAGCAATTCATTATTTTTCAGAGTATGCACATTAATCATATTTACTCCACCTGAGGTGGGTACTTCAGAAACTCGAGCAGAGCTTATGTTGGCTCCACAAATTGGACGAAAAATCGTACCCTGTGTACTTGGCCTGACCCACAGTGTGTGGAATTAAAGCATCTGGCCACATGATTCCTGTGTTTACAGCCAAGTGTGTGAGTTCATCTCTCCAGATCTTACATTTTAAAAAAATAGGGAATTGATACAAATACACTATTTTAAATTTTACGAACCTATTTACAGTTTCTTTGGTCAGTTCATGTCTGGATTGTGATTTCCTGTGCCCCATGTTGGTTATGGGAGTTGCTTGGCTGTGGGGCATTGCGGTGGCGAGATGTTAACTCCCTCGCCTGATATGCAGGAGGTCGTAGGTTCGATCCCGACCGTTGACGCCTGCTGTATATTTGGAGTTTGCATATCTCTCTCTCTCCGTGGTCGCGTGGATTTTTCTCCAGACCCTCCGGGTTTTCCCTCCACATTTAGAAACGTGCGTTTAGAGTTTCAGATATTACTCGCCACAGATGTCAGCTGTGGCCAAAAAGAAAACTCAGGCCGCTGGGCTCATGGACCCAATAATGTTAACCACCGCGGCTCTGTTCCACCCTATAAACTTACGCTATTTGTATAAACTGTCTTTTTTATGAAGACATTTATGAACCCATAAACATACACTTCAATGGGCGCTGGCATGGCACTTGCTCCACAGGTTCACAGTTCGAAATGCAGAGGCCACCCTGGTTATTACCGCAGATGTACGTACCGTAAGAAATAATACGCGCCGTCTGCTTCACAGTGGACGGTAAAGAGCTTGGGGGCGTCACGTGTAAGAGTGGGCCATCGTTTGTTGGCGTCATGGTCCAATTTTTCCGAATCCGAAATAGTACCCGTAAATTGCTCAACTAGGAATGCACGTAGCAATTATCGCCCTCTACCGCAAAAAAAAAATGGCAGGACCATCTTGAAAAATAATTCGACTCAATGAGGCTTTCTTGCTTAAGCGTAATATCATTAATAATGCATTACAGTAATACCGTCGTGATGAACGCAATGAATGACCACTAGCATTTTTGTTAAACGTTCAACACCTTAGTGTGTGCAAGCAGATGTCGAATGCTCGACGAATAACGCGCCACTTGTCACGCAGCCCGTTCATACCGGGGAGCAACTTTCGTTTGGCATTTCACTTGCGGGGTAATCTATCTTCTGAGAGCTGCCCCAGATAAACCGTAGGCACACAGCGTTCAACCTTGAAGCCCACATACTTTTACTCGGCTGCCAACGGTAAACGCCCTGCAGATGCACCATGAGATAGGGGACAAGACCGCTCGCGGCTTGACGCACAGGCACACCGAGAGGCTTCAAATGGGCCGCTTATTTTCAGCCGTAATTACACGCCAAAGCACGACCCGTGAACAAGCAAAGAACAATCGGTCTATAAATATTGTACCCGACTTATCCTCCCCGACGCTGGCATGCGACCAAATATTGTAGAGTAAGCTAAAGTTGTACGGCTCTTCTTTCCTCGCTGCAGATGACGGATGCAATTTTTTAGCCCGAGTTCCCCCCCAAGACTGCTGAACGATTACTGAAAATTTTACACGAAGTGAAATATGTATTACCCTACTTTTAGCGCAAGGAAATATTTTTTTTATTATTATTTTAAAACTGGACACATTTTTTCGAGCGTTTGCATTTTGGGTTTGGGCCAACATCTGAATGAGTGTCTCATCCACCATATGGCAACGTAGTTGCAACTGCTTGTAACGAGGGGGCTCCTGTGTTCGTCCATCACATGGGTCCGCTGACACAGGCTGCACACGTTAGTGTGCATCTAATGCGGCTACGTTTTTATTTCAATGGTCATAACGTACTTAAACCAGAATAGTCATTTAACTTCACCTGCCATGTTGTGGGCCATCCAACAAGTTCAGAGGACAGGCTCATAATAATGCCACCGGCTACTTTAAAGGTGCTGGCTTTTTGTCAATTCGCTATTATTCAGCCAGGTGAGAGCCCAAGTCAGCATTATGCCATTACGCATCGCCATAAAAATGCATCAACATCAATACGGATCTTTAAAATACGCAAACCATCATTAAATTCCACACCATCAGCTCTTTATGAATCCGCATTAAATGAATACAAATCTCGTTTTTTGTTATTACGCTGTTACCCTGTACTCCACTTATCTTTCAAAAGCACTGTGTTCATGGCACACACTATGTGAAACATTTGTACGCCATAAAAAAATGCAACAGGAACACATCCATATACACTCTGGAGCCACATGCACGTGCTTGTTCATTATTCACAACAGTCCAAGTATGAAGGTAGTTTCCACCGGCAAAAATGACAGTCGGCACGATGTCCCTTTGCGCGCTGCCGTGTCCACCCACCTCGTCCCCTGAACTCCCTCCTTGCGTCCCAGTGCCGGCGACGCGAGCGAGACGATTTACGGGCGCAGCTGGGAGCATTCCTGGAGCGCTCTCAACCTCGGATTGTAGCAGTAGCATGGGGATTGGCGAGCCAGCGAGCGAACGACGGCACAGCGAAGCTTGCCTCTCCACGACCACCACTCCCCCAACAACCACGAACCCGCACTTCCTCTACAGCTCGATCTCCGCTTTCAGTCAAAGCGAGCGTGGCTCCAGCTGTGTGCAGCAAGCACTCGGTTGATGGTGGTGGGTGGGGGGTGTAAGCGAGCGAGTGAGCTAGCCACGGTAATTAAGTTCACTGAAGGCAGATGGAGCCGAGTTGGAATGAGAGCACGGGGAATGGAAGAGCGTGGGAAGAAGAGCAGGCGATCGAGCGAACGCCTATAGAAAATGAGTCACTTGTGAGACAGCCCTGCCAGCCTAACTTTGTCCCGAAGTAAAACAAAACGCACGAATGACCGGAGCCAAAAACCTGTGTGTGTGTGTGTCTGTCTGGCGGCGGCGGCTCGAATTAGATCGCGAACGACCGGGCAAGTTGGCCAAAGCGGCGTGGCCAAACGCAGCCACAAAAAATAAAATCCGTCAGTTCCCAGTAGCCTTGAGACACTTTCACGAGCAGGGCTGGTGACGGTCGAACGAGCGGAGGGTGCCGGGCAACCGATCAGCGGCTCGCCGCTGCTCGTTCGCCAGAGTTTGAGGTGAGCCTCGGCTGGCAGTCGCTATGTGGCCGTGGCAGTTGAAGTTGCACTTGGAGGAGGGAGGGAGAGAGTCTATACTCGGCGAGAACTGACATCTATCGGCTCTCCACCACCCCACCACCACCACCACCCTTCCTCGGCATTTTTCACTTGGTCTCACAATCCGCCAAAGCGGTGGGCGGTGTTGAGAATCCACTTGGCGCAACTTAAGCGAATGGTGAAGATACGTTCATGAAAAACCACACGCGCACGATTTGAATGTGTGAGAAAAAAATAAATCACGAGTTAAAATTAGAAAAAACCCACAGACGTTTGCTGCGAGTCACACAATTGCAAGGTTAAAAGCACTGCTCGGCGACTTGTATTCACTGTATTTTGTGTCGAGATATATTAGTCAAGTAAAAATAAACATTCTTTACATTCCATGAGAAACGTACCTTTCTCAGGGTCCCTCAGCTTGTTGACTTAAAATGTTCAAAACGTTACGTTGCAATCGGATGGCCACGAAATGCTCCGGTGTAGAATGTTACTCTTGAGTCAAGCACTTGAAGTAAATGTATAGTGGCAGTGGGGTTCGCCCCCCCCCCCTTAGCTAAAAAAATGCTATCACGTGTCCAGACCTAAAACCAGTTCCTCATCGCAAACACAGATTGACTTGTGATGCCACTTCCTTTCCAAAAGAGAAGAGAGAGAGAGAGGAAAAAAAGAGAGGTATGTTTATTATTAATCCAAAACGAAGTCTTAACACGTTGCGGACGTAATGTTGAACATTTTCTGGTGTACACATTTTTTCGTGAGCTTAGGTTGCTCGTGAAGAAACGTACCCGTTGAAAAACTGAACTAAGTAAAAACATTTTAAATTTTACCCGGTGAGGCTCACTGAGCAATACAGCTCGTTTTCAGAAGCGACCTGGCCACAAATGATAGCTCAACGAAGTGGCTTATTGTGTGGAAATGTCTAGCAGGCAAATACTACAAACGCACGTTTCTAAATGTGGGGGGGGGGGGGGGGTGAAATCGGAGGGCCTGGAGCAAAAACCACGCGACCACGGAGAGACACGCAAACTCCAAATATACAGCAGGCATCAATGATCGGGATCGAACCCACGACCTCCTGCATACTAGGCGAGGGTGTTAACATCTCGCCACCGCGACACCCCACAGCCAAACAACTCCCATAACCAACATGGAGCACAGGGGATCACAATCCAGCCATGAACTGACCAAAGAAAATGTAAATAGGTTCATACAAATTAAGGGTTGCGATCGAACCTACGACCTCCTGTATACCAGGAAAGGGAGTTACCATCTCGTCACCGCAGCACCATATCGTGGCTACTACTTAAACAAATTGCAAACAGTTCAAAAATATATATCTGAAAATAATCGATTTCTCATCTCGTCATGGTTAGATATTGGCTTGTAAATTTGGAGAAGCTGTACAGGAATGGAACAATTTCCGAAAGGAAATTTAACCCGCCGAGGTGTAACAAATGCACCTTCCACGTGCTCAGTGATGAACTTTACTGGCAGGGCATGTCACGAGGACACGTGCTTGACATGTGTCCAGTTTTCCAGCCATCGCTCTCAGATGAGAAAAAAACAAGCTCGTAAAGCCCCTTTGTTAATCCACTGCTGGATGAAAGCCCTCCCAGTGCCGCATGGGGGGGGTGGGGGGTAGGGTTATGTGACCGTGCATACTTTCATACTTTCACCACGCCGGTCAGCGATGGCTGGCGAAGGGCGAGGAGGCAGGATCGGTGCGGATGTCACTCGCCACGAATGTTAAACCACGGGCGGGAAATCGAACTCAGTTAGGCAGGTTCAGTGCGCTCACGCACTGTACCAGAGTATATATGTATTTTTAAAAAAAGTAAATGTGGAAATCTCAAAGTCAGTGGTAAACAAATTTACACGTAGATCGTGTAAAATTGCGTATGGATTTTTTGTTTGTTTAAGACTGAAAAGTATCATCCGAGTATCAACAAAACAAGCAGCAGACCGATGATCGTCCATTTTCAACACGTGGCATCATTGGCTTCCAAACCAGCAACTTTCAAGCCACCTTCAGTCTCCACCAAAATTAGCTATTTACTTTCGGACGAGCCAAGAAGAAAAATCATGACTACCGATAACGGGACGTTTCAGTTCGCCTAAAACAACGCGTTGCAAGGGAACGCCACACTTAATTCAATTTGAAACGCGTCCAAATGCCGAGTACTTCCAGACTGAAATACCTTTCTTCCAATAGCCAGCAGAAAAATGCATGTTGAAATCCAATAGTGGGGTGTTTAGCGAATGGCATGTTACATTACAGTCCGGTGGAATAAAATTCGTGGCGCGAGTACTGACATTTGCTTATGTAAGTATCCCCTCGTATAAATGCAGGCATTTACATCGACAAAGCTGGGCAAGCGTTGACAACATCTACACCCAGCGAGTCATTGCATCGACCGCGTGGATTCATTTCTGTTTTGCAACAAACTTGCCCTTGTTCAAACACTGTACCGTAGGCTTGGACATATTTACCGCATTCACGCGTTTCCTGAAAATACCATGTAGGCCGCGTAACATGTGAACGTTGCACACAAACAACATTGGCGAGGGAGAAAACAAACCCAGTGGTTTTCAGGGCCTGTGGCGTCGTCACCCACACGTCAAAATCTCAGGGGAACCCATCATCCATTCATCTGCATTGCTTTTGCACATGAGGTATTGTGTTTTAATTGCAAACATGTTTAAAAAAAATCTGCATCAATGTGAAAGTTGATAATAGTTTTTTTTACCCTTCTATCTGGCAACAAAACTGACACCTTATTACAAGGAGTCATGGTTGCATAGACCACAATACCTGCAGTCATAATGCAAACAAAAACACAACTCTGATAATGTGCACTGTCCTTGAAGTTGATTGGTCCACACCCGAGACAGCTTTCCTTAGAACCTAGCCTCACATGGGTTGGACCAAATGATGCCAAAAGGCGCACAACTCAAAGACAATGCACCATCAGAGTATGAGAGCTCGGGGTAAGCATTTACACAATGAATGTGAGAGTTGCCGATGGCAGATCCTATTATCCGACACAGCTTATCCGGGAACTTCATGCCTATCCGCGCGAGTATCAGGAAGTTGCAATTTTCCACCGCTTCCTAGTCAACTTCAATATCCACGAAAACAATGTAGATAATGGTAGAATGCTTCCACTTCTAGACGACTCCTCTTACACGTGAAAGGACACGACATAACAGCACGAATTTCACGCTTACACGAGGACACGTCCGTGTGAGTCTTGTCCGAGGATAAATTACGAATAATAGGTCAAATGTGTCACCACTGATTGGTTACTACGCTTATCCATCCATGATCATACGCGGACGACTGCATACATTGAGCGCTTCCAATAAGCCACGTCTGGGTGAATGACTCAGGGATAAACGTAGCTAATCGGATTGATTTGGCACCACTTCGGGGGTCACTATTATCTGAACAAAAAGGTGAATGGGAAGAATCCATACAGGGATCGTTTGAATTTTTTTGAAAGATTCCATTGGTGTTACAATGACACAAGGTGTGTGGGTTATATACACAGGTACATATACACTCGGTAATCTGTTCGGACGGTGCGTGCTGTCGCAAGAAACGAATGTAAAAACCACACTGGGATGAGATGCTGATTCCTTGCGCAGTAATGTGTTTTTCTCCGTGTGCATAGCAACAAGTTTTGGTTATTCCCGGGACAGCAGGAACACCCCGAACATGAGCCAGATGTTGGCGTTCAAAAGTCATTTAAGGCTCGCAACACTTTGCACAAATTTTGGTGGAATGACGCCGACGGATAAATATTGTTTCACTCTCTCGGCAACTACTCCTAGCAACAAGTACACACTTTTTTCAAGAGCAGCGCGTCAATTTTGACCTGAAAGGAAAAGAAGTATTGATTTGACGTATTTTTTAAACATGCAATCGTGTTGCATGTATACAATTTTATTCAACTTAATTTACACATGATCATATATTTTTAACCTGCTTGCAAAGTCCTGTCTTAACTAAATGTAAGGGGCCGTCCATAAATTACGTCACGCGATTTTTGATGATTTTGACCCCCCCCCCTCGTCACACAGCGTCACAAAAAGTCAGCCCCCCTCAAATGACGTCACAAAGCTCTGCCCCACCCCCCCCCCAAAAAAAAACATATTTCAATTTTGAAAATAAAACATCCTTCAAATCGCTTTAAACTATTGTCATTGTAGTGCGTTTTTAATGTAGCGCTGCACTCTGATGTTGTAGGAGTGTTGTTATAACAATTCTATATTTATTTAAAGTTGCGCATTTTGATGTGACGTCACATTTCACAAACCCCCCCCCCCCCCCCCCTCGTCACACATCGTCACAAATGTCTGACCCCCCCCCCCCCAGGTGCGTAACGTCATTTATGGACGGCCCCTAACCTATATTGGAAAATACATATGGCTACAATGCCAGATTGGTTACAATTTACAAGACAATTTGGGATTTCTATCACATCTAAATGTAGCTGCACCCTCCAGACACTGTGCAGTAAGAGTGTGCTAAATTGATTATGTGGAGGCGGTCAATGCAAGAGAACTAAAAATGAATGTTTTGAGCTTAGACTTGTACAGAAGTGTGGGTTCGGCAGCGCGAATGGCTGGGAGCAGGGAACTCCACAGATTGCATAGAAAGCCTTGGTTGCCGCGGCAGGGAGTGCGTGGAGGAGAGACTTGAAGTGAAATGAGACGATACGTCGGCAGAAGGAAGTCTGTGAAGGCCTTCTCCAGTGAAGATCGTCACAAGGCTCTTCATATGAGTAACACCAGCAGGCAATGCTGGGGTTTTTTTTGTGCCATCAAATGTCGCCATTTACGTTCTTTATTCAGACAGCGTAGCCACACAACAGCGAACAACCTAAGACCACAACACCACAGAGCTTCTCCCCGATTCTCCCATCGACTCATGTCTGCCATGAATGTTACCGCTTGTCTCAATAATTCCCACTCTCCCCCGCCACCACTTCGCCAAGCCGCCCACTGCCCCGTGCGGTGAAGTATGGTCAAACAATGCCCACGACCAATACGGGCTAGATCGACAAAGGGCTGTGAATTATAAAATCATTCATATCAAATATTTCCTGTTTACGTAAAAAAAGAGACTGTTTAACACGTCGGCTTTAATATTATTATTATTATCCATAATAACGGTTTAGTTGGGTTAGATAGCATAAATATAAATACATCACTGAACCTGCCGCCACCCAACACTGCCAATTAGTAAGATGTGTCACTTAAACAAAACGTGCCAAACAGTCACTACTTCAGCACACCGGTGTGTTTCGGCCACAACGCAAGCAGCCGGTGAAGAACAGGTCTGTCGGAAAGACAGACCTGTTCTTCACCTGAGGACGGCTGCTTGCGTTGTGGCCGAAACGTCGTGAGAATTATTTTATTGTTTTATTTTTATTATTTTATTATTTCCCTTCTACGTGACTTTACCGAAAGAACCAAGAAGATGAATCCCTGCAGTCACGAAAGCTTTAAATCGAAAAATTGTGGCCACGTCATGAGATGAAGCCGTCTATTTGGAACTCTCCGAGCAGACAACCGCCCGCGGCAGGAGACGTCCCAGAATTACGTTGACCCATTTCTACCCGACACACTCGGGGTCCTCCTCCGTGCTCCCCTGGCACCGTGCTAAACATTTCTGCTGTGTGGCAAAACCACGATTTGTAATTCTCAGAGCTGGAATTTAGTCCCTAAATTAAGTCGGGAACAAGTTGATTGAACGAGGGTTTGTGTGTGCGCGTGTGTGTGCAGTCATTGGTGACTGGGTCAAGGACCATAACCTTTTGATATCCGAAACTCCAGTTTTAAGGGGCTCTAATGAAATCTGGATTCAAACCCAGAAATTCAGTGGTGCTGTCTTGGCGCTCTGTTCCCACGAAGCCATTCGGCCACCTCTCAATGAGAACGACTTTCTAACGTACGTGGAGTCATTCACAAAGCAGCCAGTTGCTCGCTAAAACATCTACAAAGCTTGTGGCTTCATAGTGCGAGTTTGCATTTCCTGTACAATTACTTTCATCTGAACAAAAACACAACACGTAAATAAAAACAAGTACTTATTCCTGATACATTTAAACAAAATATTTAAAAAAGACTTCAACTTTATAGCCAACGGAATTAATTCTACATCTAGCTCGCGCCAATAGCACACGGGTAAAACGGTCACAACAAAGAACGGCCGCACTTTATGAAAAGCAGCACGCGGGCATAGTTCTGCAACGTTAATGAGGCCGGTACGCGCGTGGCAGAGCGAGGATGGAGCAACTGCCTGAATTTGGAAGCGTCTCAAGGCCCGGTCGCTATAATCCTCTCTTCTCAGTGTCACATTGACCTTCGAGACACAGCCCACCTTCCAACCTCACTCTCACCCAGTTTACCATTCTTCTTTAACAGAAGCACAACGAACGCTTCGCTGTCAAGCGATGGGCCAGTTAACGTGAGAAATGACCGCGGGAGCAATGGAATGGATGTCGCTCGAAAGCTTTCACAAAATTGCAGGCCAACGATTTGAAACGCGGGGAATGCTTGGAATGGGGGGGGGGGTGGTGGGGGACAAACTACAATCACGAGGGGTGGCAAATTCTCCCTTTAACCCACAAACGACACAAAAACAACCAAATTGCCAAGTCATACTAAAAACACAAGACACCAAACGCCCTCATACGATGAAACGCCAACCTGGCTCCACAGGCACATCATTTGAAAGGCTCAGTCAGATCTGCTCTGCCACCAGCGCAGTTTTAAGCCCAACGCCGCCACCACCACCACCGACGCCGGCGGCGGCGGCAGCGGCGTGTTCACCCCAAACGAGGAAACGAAGGACGTTGGCCAATCCCCGCAGCAGCCCGCCGCGGTGGCGACGGGCCCCCGCCGGGTGGCCCAGCACGGTCGTCACCCCGGCCGCCACGTACGACAGCTGCATCGCCAGCAGGCAGCACACCCACAGCAGGCAGCCGACGTTCACCAGCAGCAGCAGCGCCGGCCACGAGTCGCGGGTCATGGCCAACGCGGCCGCCGCGGCCCAGCGGCCGTAGTCGGGCCGCAGCCCGGCAAGGTGGGTGCCGCCACCGCCGCCGCCGCCGCCGCCGGGGCTTGGCGGAACGACGCGGGCCAGGTACGCGACGACGGTGCCCGAGAAGCAGAACTGGCACAGCGCGACGAGGACGAGCAGCAGCACGAAGGCGCGGTGGTTGCGTCGCGCGACGCACACCAGCAGGAAGAGGCAGTGGTGGTCCATGCCCTCCATGCAGGCATCGCACAGGCGGCAGTGCTTGGTCCAGGCGGGCTGCACCAGCTGAGGGTACAACAGAAACGCTGTCGTCGAGAACGGAGAATGTGCGCGGATGTGGTTTTTTTTGGGGGGCGAGGGTGGGGTTTGTAAATCGATTTTATTGGAACGTCTTGGTTTATACGAGCAACCTGCAAATCCTCTGAAGCTTAATAGCCATCCCCCCAGCCAGCCAAACATTTTAAAATAATCAAGTATGGTACACGTGGCGTAAAAATGTTAATAGAACCTGGGTTTGCAAGACGTCGTTACGTGGTGTTATTTACTAGGCATGTGTAACAATGTTCCCGCGGTGAAGTAAATCAGGCACTGCGGGGCTACGTTGTGGGAATCAGGCGGCAGTGCAGCAAAATCCATTGTTGCGCTGTGCTACGGTACCCCCGTCCGTGCTGTCCGCCTTCACCAACCTGCACCGGGCATCGTGGTTAGGTATGGTGAAATAAATATTCTTAGGTTTTTTTCGGTAAAGTCACGTAGGTAAAAATTTTACAAATAATTTTACCTATGTGACTTTACAGAAAAAAACCTAAGAATATGAATCCTTGCAGTCACGAAAGCTTCAAATCTAGAATGGTGAAATAACCCCCATCACCCGCATGGTGCGAAAGATGTTCAACACACATGGCGTGGACAGGCCCTCATCCAGCAGTGCGTTGATAACAGGGCTGCACATGCAGATTTAAAATCCCCCACGTCCCAACCCGCTTCCCCCACGTGATTCGATGAAGTATCATGATTCTAGGTGGCGACTTAAGTCGAGAATTCGATTCGTTTCCGTAGTGGTGAATGCAGTGTCTCTTCAGGGATCATGTGAACTATTCACATACAACACGTATAATTTGATGCACATATCTGCAGAATAAGAAGACGATTTAGATCGACGAACGGATGCATCGTTAACACGATTTGTTGTTTACAATTTTGATGGGCGGGTTTGCCTACGGGGGACGAGTTTGGGTGCAGCGAGGTGGACAGGCGGATGTACCGCGATGTGGGCGCCAGCTGGAAGGTGATGACAAATAAGACGTCGAGAGGAAGGCGGGTAGGGATGGGGGCGACGGAGGAAACGCTACAAGATGAACGAGTGATATGTTTCGATTCAAAGCTTTCGTGACTGCAGGGATTCATCTTCTTGGTTCTTTCGGTAAAGTCACGTAGAAGGGAAATAATAAAATAGTAAAACATAATAAAATAATTCTCACGACGTTTCGGCCACAACGCAAGCAGCTGTCCTCAGGTGAAGAACAGGTCTGTCGGGAAGACAGCATCTGAATGAAACACCCCAGGCTTGGAGCGTATATTTAAGCTGGGTTGGAGGGGGAAGAGCGCCTTGACAAAATAATTTGCATATCAATAGGAATTTAGAATATTTATGGTAAAATTCAGATATGGGATTTCCCATAAATATGCTAAATTACTCTTGATATGCAAATTATTTTTTGCTGTTCGTGAGCACCTCCGAAGGCCGGAACGGCACAGAAGTGTTGGTGGGTGGCCAGCACCACCCCACGCCACCGTTGCCTCCCTCGTGAACATTTTTTTTACACATCACACTGGGTGCTCAATTTAGGCTGAGTCGACCTAACGGAGGCCCAGGACCGGTTCAGAAAATCGTCACCGGTGTTCACCGTGAACAAGCCAGGGAATCGAATCCCGGTCTTGCCGGGTTCGAAGTGCGTTGCAAGCTCACTGCTCCACCGCTGCTCCTCCCCAGTCGACGCCACCTCGTGGCCAGAAGATGTATTGCACCACGGGACCCCACCGCCCCACGGGGGCGTTTTAAAATTTTAGCCAGCGGCAGCATCAGCAGCCACGGCGGTTGCGCAACGAGGTCACCGTGTTGTGTTTTGTTCAACAGCTTTCGCCACGGCCTGTGAGGCAATTGTGGAAAAACGAGCGCTTTCCAAACATATGGCCTTACCCACAGTGCCGGATTAAGCTAGCGCGGGGCCTGTAGCATATGCTATAAAGGGGCCCTAAGTAAATAAAAACCACAAATATGAAAACAGATTTTTAACTTGCACAGGAAAGTAATTGTATTTTTTTAATTTGCTATACAGCCAGATAATACGACAAATCGCTAACCTTAAACACCCAGTCGTTCATAAAAGTTGAAGGCGGTATAGTACTATAGTAATAGAGCAAGTGCAGAATCACTGAACTGGAAATGATAGCTTGAAAGCATTTAGCGTGGGGCCCTTGAAAGTGCGGGGCCCGTAGCATATGCTACTTTTGTTACTAGGATAATCCGGCACTGCTTACCCAGCGAAACACCAATGTATCGTGCACGATGGGGGAAAAAATGAGTCTCCAAAAACAGCGTATGAATGCCCCTTGTTGTCTTTTGGTTTACCCGGTAGAGCCTCACTCAAGACTTGTCTAAAGAGCGTTATTCAGGTGAATTCTGTCCAGCAATTTCCATGAATGGGTACTTGTTGACAAAAAATCTGGAATATGGATAGATCACACAGCGTTGCATAATCACACGAATGTGTATAACGCATCCTTGCTGAGAGCGAGTTAAAAAAAATAACCGCAATAGCCAGGCAATATATTATCCTTATGGCGGTACCCCGGGGTACCAAATAATACAAAATGGCCGAGGCAATTAAATATTTGATTCCTGGGGTACTATTTTTGTCCAGGGGTGTACTTAACTCCACGACTGGGGTACCAATCAATCCGAAATCAGTGCCACACTCCGCGATGTCGAAACGCAGCGAGGACGATTGCGTCGAAACCCTGAACGCTTCGTGCGCACAGTAGTGGTGCATCGTGTACAGCTCGTCGAGATGAGTCAATTGCCGCATCGCCGACCATCAACAGACTAAAAAATTAACCCGTAAAAACAAAGTTTTTCACTATAAATCCTTTATATGCGTGGCGGCTAGAGTCCTCTCGTCCTCTGGCTTGAGATGGCTGCCACCTACGGGTCAGATGATTGCCTGCCACCATTAAGCAATTGGTAATTAAATATAAAAAAAAAATCCTAAAAAGTGTAATGTTATGGAAAAAAAAATTCACGTAAATAAATTGTCACGCACAACGAGTCTGTGTGCAAAATGTCAGCTTGATTGGATCACGGGAAGTGGATTTAAAAACGACCGAAAGATTTGCACGGTCTTCAGCGCTCAAGCAAGCAAGCAAGTGAACTTAATATAAAGGATTTAAAAATGACTGCATCACGGACATCACGGACATTATGGTACCCTGGGGCACGGCCATAAGGTTCATATAACGGACGATTACAGTGCGGGAGGTCCAATTTTTCTTTTTTAAATGGCAACGTACAGCAACACTTAACATCTGCACACAAGACCAGTAATTGGCAACTTGGAAATAGCAGCGTCCTACACCAACGCTCGCCAGACGAGTCCCTCAAACTCCCCCCCAAGGACTCGCAGGCGGATATGAAAAAGAAAATCCTACTCCCCTTTACGAGCAGTGACTTGTGTATTATTAAATGCATCCGCCGAAGCTGACTGTTGGCGCCGCAGTGGCGAGATGTTAACCACCTCGCCTGGTATACAGGAGTTTGTGGGTTCGATCCCAATCCTGACGCCTGCTGTAGATTTGGAGTTTGCATGTTCTCCCTGTTATTGCGTGGATTTTTCTCCGGGTTCTCTGGTTTTTCACTTCACATTTAGAATCAACGTGCGTATTTGGCTGCTATAAATGTCCACGTGATAAGACACTTTGTTGAGCTATCATTTGTGGCCAGGTCGCTTCTGAAAAAGAGCTATATAGCTCAGTGGGCCTTACTTGGTCAAAAAAAAATTAGTTCATCGTCGTTTCCCCAGAGCTTCTATCTGCATCCTCCCCTTGCGAGGCACGTGACGACTGCCCATGCACGGCAATGAACTCGTTTTGTATTGATGTTTTAGGCAGAGGGGGGGGGACCGACACAATTAATTTATTTTTTGAAAACTGTAAATTAAAGAGAAAAAGCCAGCCCAGTGATGAAGTTCACATACTTTCGCTGGATATATTATATACAACCCGAGGCACGCTTCCAAATTCATTGCTTTATTATTCCTGCGCCGGGCAGTATTACCAGCACTCGATATCTCACATAGGCAGCTGCTGTCGCTTGTTTAACAACTCTATGTTGCAGACGTCAGATAATCCAATTCGTCTTCTGGAGGCTGCCTCAGTGCAGGACAACATTACACATTTACCTTTGCTGACAACCAAATGTACAAGTACCTGATAAAGCAATCGTTTGCGATAAATGCTTAAGGTCAATCGGAAGGCGATTGCTTCTTTTGGTATTGACGAGCATAAAGAGGAGCCCATATGTACACTGTAGAAGAAGAAACGCACGCTACAAACGGAGTTATACTGGTAGGAACCTCCTGGTTACACCAGCCCACAGGGGATTATTGTGTCCGTCGTGCAGGGAGGGGCTGGGTGGGGAGGGGAGGGTGGGGTGGAGCTGCGTGGGGAGGGTGGGGCTGAGTGGGGAGGGGAGGGTGGGAGGGGCTGGGTGGGGAAGGTGGGGAGGAGCTGGGTGGGGAGGGTGGGGAAGGGGCTGGGTGGGGAGGGTGGGGCTGGGTGGGGGGTGGGAGGGGTGGGGCTGGGTGGGGAGGGACCGGTCACCCCGTGGTGCCCTTTTCAAACTCAACGTTTAACCTACTCACGCCGGCTTGTGCCCGCCCTCACAGTCAAGCATATTTGCGGAATATACCACGCCGCCGTTGACCCTGGCCATTGACCGAGCAACCCAACGTCCTACCAGCTCCCTCCGCAGGAGGAATGTGTTTTCCCGCTCAAATTAACGTCGAGGCGAGGCTCATCCCCTTGTTTACAGCCCTGAGCCAGTGGTCGGAATTCCGCACTCTGCTGTGCTGATGATCCCTAATAAAGGTGAAATGAGAACATGAGCTGTGGGGGTGTTACACAACAAAGGCTCATTCCTAACAGCGTGGTGCTTCAGCCGCACCGAACCTCACAAAAATAATATTCAGGGCCTACCTTGGCTCCTCCCACCCTCAACCAGTATATATACAAATACTGTGTTCTTGGAATTTCTCTCACTTGATACAGCTATCGTGCTGTGACGGTTCCACCTGAAGACGGAAGCTTGTGTTGCCTCCGAAACGTCGTGATTTTTATTTAATTTTTATTTTACTTTTATTAATTTAAATTTTTTACCTACGTGACTTTACCTAAAAAAACCTAAGAAGATGTTTATGACCCTGGAAGGAAAAACGACTTGTTCTCGCAAGATCACTTACCGACGCAAACGTGTGCAATCGGCTCTGGAATCCCGTGAACTCTTGTGGGTCCTTATTGCTTCAGCATGTGGCATCAATTTGACTTCTGTCTTAGCGGCCCGTCTCCCCCCAAAAAAATCCCTGATGTGCTGATGCTATCATTTCAGACGCGGAAAAGCACTTTGCGCCACGCACGCCGGCAAGAGGTGATGATTTGTCTTCGTGCCGATTCGACTCGTGCCCAGCGGCGGTGTGTTGCACCGTCATGGTTTGGGGGACACAATTCGATTGAGGGATGCAATGATTTTAAAAATATAGATATTGTGCGTCTCATTTGTGAAAGTTTAATTCAAATTAATTGTAACATTTGTATGCGCAGTAATTAGCAGCTATTGTAAACTATAAACTTTCGCACAAATTATTAGGTGTCTGTATCGTGAGCGAATAATCAATTTTAATCGACGCGTCTTTGCCACGACTACGCGCCAAGTCAATAAGAGATTCTTCTTTGAAGAATCACCATCCCATGTGGGCCTTATTCCCTGAGCATGTGGTGTCGATTTGACTTCGGTCTTTGCCGCCCATCTCCAATCATCCCTTATGGTGATGCTATCGTTTCAGGCGCAGCAAAGCAGATGAACAACAAACACAGGCAAGAACATAATTCCTACCTCCAGTGATTTAATGAGCTACCACAAATCGGTATCATGATTCAAGGGCTGATGTTTTTGCCATCACGTTTGTATTGTTCATCTTTTATTTTATTTTACTATTTTATTTGACTATTTTTTTAAACTTCAGTCAACAGTTGATTCTTTCTATGCACTCTTCTCATTAGCATCGTGAGCTTAACATTCAAATTAAATGAGGTGGCCGGGTGGCTCAGAGGTGAGAGCACTTAGCTGGCTGTTGCTGAGATCCTGGGTTTGAATCGAGGCGCAGCCACCTGAGGTTTCGAACGTAATGCTCTCTCCTGCTACACAGGAGGTCGTGGGGGTTTGATGCCCACCCTGACGCCTGCTGTATGTTTGGAGTTTGCGTGTCTCACTCTCTCCCTCTGGTGGCGTGGAATTTTCATTTTTCCTTCGGGTCCTCCGGTTTTTCCCTCCACATTTAGAAACGTGCTTCTAAGATGATTTGGCTGCTAGACATTTCCACGCGATAAGCCACTTCGTTGAGCTATCATCTGTGACCAGGTCGCCTCTGAAAAAGAGATGAATAGCTTGGTGGACTTTATCCGGTAAAATAAAAAGTTCGTTTTAGTTTAGTTACCGCACAATAAGTGACCATATAAACCATCAAATCGCATTTGGTTCTGCACTTAATTTGTATACAATTCCAGCTCTGCGAATGAAAATGATTAGTTTGGCTCATATGCCGATTGTGGTTCTCATATGACAGGGCGGGTGGGATAAAGTGCTGCCCGACATCAGTTGATGGGATCTCGAAGGACAGCTCTGTGCTTCTTGCTACCGTAGACCGTTCTACAACAAGAAGACTTGGGCTGTTCTGCGACAGATCCAAATGGATACTTCGCCTTATAACATCATGCTGACGGCACAAATGGGACAAAATCAGGCAATGAATAAAAAAAACAATAAACATACGATTTTAAATCTACAAAACGATGCATCGTCATGCGCCTACTTGCTATCCCAATAAATCCAAACCGACACGGCCTGGGCTCTCGATGGCCGCACTCGCCTCGCAGCTGATGCAGAAGCGCTGTGTGGGTTCGCCGGCGGCCAGAAGCTCGTGCACGGATGACAGGCCGGAGCCGGGCGGGCCACATTGCGGTCGCAGCCGGCCCGGGTCCCTCAGCAGCACAGAGCACATGGCCAGCCCGAGCAGCGTTGTAATCACCACGGAGCTCACCAGCAGCGCAGGCGCCGGCCACAGTACTGGCACGGGGTCAGTCAAGGAAGTTCGCAAGACGAGACTCGTACAACATTCCCGCCTAAAACATCGAAGCTAAAACAGCGCGAGGCCCTCACGGCACAGGTGGTTTTCCGCTGGCTATTTGCCATGCACAGCCATAGTCCATGGTTTTGAAAGAAAAAAAACCCCAGATGAATTTGGCTTGGGGAAAAGGCCGGGCCAGGGGAGTGGGGCGATCGACTCGGTCATTGGGTGCGACGTGAGTGGCGTGGCTTGGCTCCTGCAGTGGAAAAACAAACTGGCGCCTCACCACAAACCCGGCGTGGCTCAGTTCTACTTTCTTTTGGAAAACTAATTTCTTGAGAACTGCTTTTTGTGTTTAGTTTGTTGTCCCCCCCTCCCCCACCTCCAATTAGCATGGTTGGCTACGTATGGTGCGAAAGAAGTTCAACATACATACATATGTGACCTAGCCAAATAGACAACATGACGATATGATAAGAGTGCTTCAAGCTGTCAGTGCCATTATCGTATTTCCTGCATTCTGAGCCAACGCAAACACGATCTATTTCATCGCTGTTTGAAGTTAATTATTAAGTGACGGGACACAAATTGCTCTATGTAATTATACTCGAACAGTGTCAATCGCAGCCAAGGATACTGGGCAGTAGTTTGTAGTAAAAGCAGAACAAGGAGTGGATGATCCCAGCGATGAAGATTCCAAAGTAAATGGGATTCTGCCACCTGCGAATTGAGTGCATGCATGGCAGCGATTAAGCAGCAGAGCCCAGTGGACAAACATCAACACAGCAACTTTAATAACATCCACGTGTAAAACACACACACGCACAACAATATCACCATATACATGTTCACGAGGCATGATATAATTATTCAATTAAAACGTATTTCTTAGGCCAACGATGCATGTAAACCGGAGCTAACAATTATTCACGATTTCAGCAAATTTCTATGCTTATAGTAACGCCTCGTAGTTAACATTAATGTCACAAAGATAGAGCTCCGTTGCTATAGCAGCAGCGCTCCAAATTTGAAGACGTTAATGTTAACACCGGGAAACATTCGTCCACGGAGAGACTTCCAGGATTACTAAGATAAATCCCACTTGCTGGCAATAAATTAAAAATGCAACACATTCATCAACCGTTATTTGTGCCAATTTACCACTGCCAAAAGAGATTTTGTTCAGCGATACCAGCTCAACTTTGCCACAAACGAACCACAATACCTTATTGATCTCGTCAAGGAGCATAAACCATCATGCAAACTCCGGTCATCCTCGCAGGGGCTTTTGGCTAGCCATGGAACAAGGACAGTAACCGCATCATGCGCTTTCAGATGAGCTTCTGCAGCCCGTCTGGAATGCTCTTCCTCCCAATCTTAGAAAGCCGCTGGAACCATGCACTTTTCAATGTAGATTGAAAACTAATTTCTTTAGAACCGATTTTCGTGTTTAGATTATTGTCCTTCCCCGGCACCTCCGGTTGACAACGTACGGCGCGAAAGATGTTCAGCATACAGCACACACATTGGCACCTTAAGCTGAGAAATGCCATGGCAGGTGAACAGCGCTCACTTGAGCGTGGGGAGACACTGCGTTGGCCCGCGGGCACAAGCAGGACACACAGAACGGCACCTGCTGATGTGCCAGATGCGGTGAGTTTGGCCGAGGACGGTGCGAGTGAGCGCGATGAACAGCGCCATGATCAGGTATCCGCTGTAGGCGGGCACCAGGCTTGACAGGGCCAGCCCGGCCGCTGCCCCGACGCCCGGTAGCAACATCAGGCCGTAGTAAATCCCTGGAAACGCACGGCAAGCAGACACCAATGAGATGTGACAGCGAGCTGCGGGGGGGAGACGTTTAGAAGCATTCTGTGGTTTGGATGTAATGATTCCGAGCAGCCTCCAGACGCGGTGCAACAATTTCCAGACAAAATGAAATTTACTCGATCAAACATACGAATTAGCAACAAAAAACTACGCAAATAAATTAAATGTTTAAATAAACAAACGAAATCAGTAACAGCAAATACATGTATTAAAAACAACGGCTTCTGAACTTGACGAGTGCTAATTACAGATTTGTGTATTTTCGTACAAGTTGCGGATGACTGCAATGCGTGTGTTTTGGTTGGGTAGGTTTGGTGGGTGGAGACAAGAAGATTAACCTGGCGTTTGGCACGCAGAAGGAACTGGAGTGGTCACACAACGTGTTTGGAAGCTCATACTTTTGTACCCTGGCTTGTGACTGATTAATTGAGCAAAAGGATTTGCAGTAATTAACGATTTGTCCCGTGCTAGCCGATTCATGCAACGAACTTCAAATTGTTACAGCCGCCAATCAAGTACGGGCAAGCGAGTGTGGAGGATGCCCCGCCGTGGTGGCGATGGAGCGATGAGATTTGTTTATGTGTAGGAGTGAGAAGGATTGTGGCATCGCAGGATGGCAAGGGATACCAATGGCATGGGCAGGCTTTCATTCGGCAGTGGACAGACTGTGGCTGATTATGAGGATGATGATTTGCTCTCCAATCCACACATACTATCTAAGCCACCCCGCCCACCCACTCTCACCCTTCTCTTATTCACAAACATGTACATCTATGCAATACATCTCGACCAACACGGTTCAATTAATCGAACAGCTGCGGTTCGCTGTTTGCAACTGGGACGTTTGCTTGCGAAGTAGTTCATGTTGTGTGCAATGATAGGAATTTGATAGTACCCCTGTGATGAAGATGTAAAATGCCAAAGGCTGACATTTACAACAAAAAAGCCCAACGAGCGGAAATATATACAACGGGAATATTGTAACGGTGGAATGTATGCAAGTCTGCATTCATTTGCCAGCATATGGGTTCCGTTAAGACGTGCATTGTACAAGCGAATGAAAACAAACTGAACGGGCAGTTCATTACAACACTTGCACAAACATTCACATGTCCTCCACTTAAACTGTTCCGGCAGTGACTCAGTAAACAGTGTACAGTGCATTTCCTGTCTAACTACCGTCTTGGCAACGCTGCAGAAGAGTGGTCAAAGGTGATAAAGTTATCTTTCCAATAAATTAATTGTTTTAAGTTTCTCCCAAAGAGGCACGTTTATTGCTTTGCAACAGTGTGGTAGTAAAATGTAAAACGTGAGCACAAATCATGATTTTTTTTCTTTTACAAGTGCAGGAATTCATATTCTTGGGTCTTTCGGTAAAGTCATGTAGATAGGTAAAAAAAAAAACTTTTTTGTTAAACAAATGTTTTTTTAGGTTATAAAAAAAGCTTTTTTGTTAAACAAATTTTTTTTGAACCTATCTACGTGACTTTACCGAAAGACCCAATAATACGAATTCCTGCAGTCACGAAAGCTTTAAGTCAAGATTTAAGTGCAGGTTCCGTAGCCATGAAATAAAAGAGTCAATTTGGAGTTTAGTTGGATGAAAGTAGCGGCCACTACTTTGATCAGTCGCTCCCAGCTTCGTTGATGGCAGTGTGAGAGGTGCAGCGTCATCGCCAAGCCTTGCAAATATTTTAGGGTCTTTGTAAATGAGGGGGGGAAACGCAGGGTGGTGGTGGTGGTAACGACGCACGCCTGCAACCTAGCACTGTGCAGGCAAGGGTTGGTGTATCAGACGAATGTTGTTGAACCCCCTTCGGATGGGAATCAAGGTTGTACATCCCTGGCCTTGCCAGGAGAATGCAAACGTGGACTCCACCTGTCATCTGTATGGGATAGAGTGTTGTTACCTCGCATGCGAGAATTTTTCGCAGTGTATTGATTTCCGACCACGTGTAAACATTCATTAATTAGTGTCGAGAACACCTTAATATAAAGAGGACTGCAGAACTTGGGGGGGGGGGGGATTTGGCAACAGCTCACTGCCTGGCTGCCGTTACGCTCCGAGTGCATCGCACACCTCTCTGAATTCCGATGCTGGTAACATTCAGAGTCCCTTTCTGGCAGTTCATACCTGGATGAGGACCTCAACAGCACTGTGTGAGTCATGGGGGTTATCTTGACCATACCTCACGACACTAATCAGTGCAAGGTTGGTGAAAACACGGCGCAAGGCTGATGGACAACAACGCAAAAGCACAACGGATTTGGCTACACTGCCCTCTGCTGTCCACCACGGAACTCTGCGGCCCATAACAAACCATCTGAGCACTTATTCTTAGGTTTTTTCGGTAAAGTCACGTAGGTAAAAAATTAAAATTAAGTAATAAAGTAAAATAAAAATAAAATAAAAATCACGACGTTTCGGAGGCAACACAAGCCTCCGTCTTCAGGTGGAACCGTCACAGCACGATAGCTGTATCAAGTGATTTTTATTTTCAAGTGATACAGCAATCGTGCTGTGACGGTTCCACCTGAAGACAGAGGCTTGTGTTGCCTCCGAAACGTCGTGATTTTTATTTTATTTACTTTTATTAATTTACATTTTTTACCTACGTGACTTTACCGAAAAAACCTAAGAATATGAATCCTTGCCGTCACGAAAGCTTAAAATCTAGAAATATCTGAGCACCTGCCAGTCTGAAACCTGACGAGATTGGGTGCATTGCAGGTGATTTGGTCACCGGCTGTGATGTTGGTACAAGCACCAGAGTTTCCAGTGCCGGCATAACGTTCAAAATTGACAAAAAATAAAACTGTCACTGTAGCAACCAGATTCTTCACCATCTTGTAAATAATCTGCCTCCACTTTAATAGAGCAACCTTGCATAAAGGAGATTTAACACGCAATCATAAATATCGCCGTGAATAGCATGGCGTTTATGGCCTCCATACAACAGGTTGTAAAATACAGGCACAGTTCAATGGCAGGCGGAATTGCCAATTTATGCACACAAATAAAAAAAAGGTTACGGGTTTTTTTTTACATTTTTAATATATCAAGGGGAACAAGGGGATTGTGTAATGGTTTGTCCACTGGGCCGTCAAATCCGGAGGTTGCCAATTACCTGCACCTCCAATTAGCGCGGATGGCTACGTACGGTGCAGCATATGTTCAACATGCACACACATCTTCATGGTTCTTTCGGTAAAGTCACGTAGAATGGAAATAATAAAATAATAAAAATAAAACATAATAAAATAATATAGTAGTATATTTTTTATTTTATTATTTTTTATTTTTATTAGAATAAAATAATACAATAGTATATTTTTTTATTTTATTATGTTTTATTTTTATTATTTTATTATTTCCATTCTACGTGACTTTACCGAAAGAACCAAGAAGATGAATCCCTGCAGTCACGAAAGCTTTAAATCGAAATGCGCACACATATCTCCCCTGCACGGCATTCGAATCAATGAGCACATTCCTAAAATTCCCCGCTTCTGTCTACCCATAAGTATACATGTGTTTATGTATAACTGCCGGTTGGACAAGATACTAGTCATGCACCATCAGCAAGCTGTGTGTGGTGGGGTAAAGTGTGGGTATTCTCGCCTCTTGCAAGACATCTGGCCAATACTGGAAGAATAGGCCAACTACCCTCCACAGTGGTTCTTTAGATCTTCCTCTATAGTGGCAGCCTTCCACCAGCAGTGGCATGAGCAAGCAATTGCAGGACTGCAACTTTACCGTTTACCAAAAGACAGTGGATTGTATAGCCAAAAATAATCATTCATGGAGGCTGTACAAAAAACATTGACTTCATTATAAGCTAATCTAAACTAGTCTAAACTATTTCAAGGGAACCTTGTGTACATACTCTTGTCTGTATTGTTAACAGTTTAGTATTACAGAGTTTACTATGATGGACTTTAATGGATTTGAAATGTACGTTTTGCGAAGTGGCATGTACAGGTTGACTGACCAAGAGGCTGAAGGGATTTTCCGTTGTACGATCTCCTCTCCAAATTTTCCAGAACCTCAGACAGGTGCTTGTGCCTTCAGATAAAAAAAAAAGACATTAGCAAGGTAGAACAAATATATTAACGGACAGTGCAAAAGAGAGGAAAAACACACAGATTAGGGCATTTGTGCAGGTTAATGATATCTTTAAAACCGTGAAGAAAGTCAGCTGGCTTGGGCTGGATGCGTCGTTCGAGGGGACGATGTCCGATGGTCAAGCACAAAGACGGAGCGGCAGCCGAGGAACGGAACGCGTCCGAGAGGAAGTCCACAGAGAAAATGAAGCGGACAAATGAGGTCACGTGCTGCTACTCGGTAAATTATTGCATTTCAAGATCACGAGAGAGGGATACGCCGGTGACTTGGGGGGGGCCTTCATCCGGCAGTGGATTGATCATGGCTGCCGCTGATAACAAAACAAAACAAATACGGATGTCATAGCAATGAGTAGTTCTTTCACGTATGTGTACATGCAGGTACGTGCACAAGAGTAAAGCGATGGCCCTTTAAACACCTTCAAAAATTCCCACAAAGCATCCCACATCGCACGGCATGGCGAGTGTGCGCTCAAGCTGGCGAGGAGTGAGAAATAAGACGACGCATTTAATCACTGGATTCCCCGGATTTATGATTCCCCCGGCTTTATGAAAGATTCCCCGTTCGATTTTGATTAAATGTTCAGCTTCGAAAAAGGAGGTCATCGCCAGCCAAGGACAGGCTCTGATTAAAACCCAATGGGGCCCTAAACCAGAGAAATATCATGAGCCCCCCACCCCCCCCCCCCCCCCCCCACATATGGTGTATAAGGACCACGTGACTCTCCCTTCTTGACAAACCCTTATGGACACATAGGCTCACTCTGGCTGTTGAATACTCGCGGACTTTCGTGGTCAGGGCTCATGAAAGGTCTCCCGTCTGTCGATGTGGGCACAACGCCACAGAGAGCAATTTGAAGAGGTATAAGTGAAGCTTGAATATGTGCTACTGCGCATCTCATGTGGAGCTGGCTTATGAACCACACGGGACAACTGGTGAAATGGGTAACCACAGCCCAAGCACAAATTGCTCCTTCACACCACCTGCATCCCAGTGAAACAAGCTGAAGCGTTATTCCCCCCTACCCTGCGGTTATATTTGGGTATATAATGATTCGCCCCCCACATCCATTCGTTGAATTGTCATGTTTCAGGGTCACGATTCGATTAATAAATATATTGGTTTTTTTTGCATTATTGAGGAGCATGCAGAATCTATAATGGCTGCAGGAGCCACGTGAACTCATCACAACATACACAAATCGAAGATAAAATCGATCCTTGGATCACGATTTGCCACAAGCATTGCGAGCATAAAAATTCTAATTAGATCCACGAGCTGACGCATCTTTACATGCCGAGGTTATAACGGCGCATCGATTGCCTTGCGAGCAGAATTACATGTAAGTGTTGCAGCTCCTCGCCAGCTCCACAGGAGTCAACCCGTCGCGATTCCTCAGCGCGAACAGCCCCATGCCTCCGGCCTGCAGAAGTGGCCAGCACAGGGCACTATGGCCCTTCAGCGTCGCCAAGTGCAGGGCCGTGTTGCCATCGGCGTCCCTCGTCCGGCAGTCGATGCGCTACGCAGGCGGACAGGCACAAGCACGAGCGGCAGTCAAGATCAACCATTCTCAGTGTTCTTTGTTCGTCGAGTGCTAGCATCGGCCCACGCAGCACGGATCTCCCTTGTAAAAATAGCCGGGCAACTGGCTAAACGGTATCATCCGTGTAACAAATTAAAATAAGCTCAAACTCAGTGGCAAGTGATATCAGAACCGGTCCTGCCCGTCCCCTCCCTTTGGCAACTGCCTCCGCCCAACGTGGTTCAGTGCTGTAAAAAAAACCCACGTGACCATCACGGTGTTGCGAAGAGCTGTCATTTATTTGCTTTTTAGTGCTGTAAAATGACAATACATTCAGCTCATGATTATCCACGGGTGGATAATCCAGAATGTAGATTAACGGTGCTCACTCGTGCCTTTTTCGCACCCATCACCTCCACTTCCATGCAAACTACTGACCATAAACCCCTAATTTAATCAATCAATACATTCATTAAACCCGAGTTTCTTTAGGAGCTATTCCTCACTCGTAGGTGATAAAGCACCCCACGAACGGCAAGTAAATTGATTACTTTAAGCAATAATAAAAAAAACCTGGCGACACGTTATTTGTCTTCACACCCATTCTACGATAACCGATACAATTCATAACCAAATTTACGTAAGTTTTGCATTATCCACTCCTTGTTTTTAATCTGGGGGGCGACAGCACCCGATTCCCAATATCCCGGATAATCAACAGCTAACTATATTCACCAATTATGGCACCAGCGGACTCTAATCAGCTGTACGCAACTTCCGATGTTGCGGCAGCACGAAAATAAATAATGCCTGAGCTGAGCGCTGCTGTCACGCTTTCCAACCTAACAGCATGTGCATTCCATCCAGCTGTGGTCCGCAGAGGTCAAAAGCCCTTTTTGCTGCTAACAATCAGATTGCGTTCGGTCCCTTGAAATATTATTTCACTGTACAATCGGCGTGTTTTCCATGAAGCGTGGCTTTGGCCAGTGCTTTCCATCGGAATAATATTTGTGGCTCTATATTTACTCATACTTGGCACAAACACAAGGCACGAGATTCAAATTTAAAATCTTAAGTAGATGGGGAACATGTCTCTAAACTAGATCCTGAAACACGTGGAGCTGCTGACAAGAGTTTGTTGCGTGCAAGGCCGATCCTGGCAGCACATTTCCATGGCAAACCGCAATATGAAGAGCCGGTTTTCTAACCCCTTAGGAGGTTATTTTCCATAAATAAATCTTGTTTTTTATTAACTCATAATCAACGTGTCACCTCCAATTGTCCATCGACTATGCTGTGCATTCGGCCTCATTCCTCTCTCGTTGATTTATTTTCTGCACTTTTTTATTGTTTGGTATTTGTAATCTGTTTTCTGTAACCATTTATTTATTTTCATCCAGGTATCCCTTGAAAAAGAAACTTGTATCCGAATTGGTTTCTCTACTGGTTTTCAAGACAATGTATCCATAACACTGTATCGATACATAGCACACACACAAAAATATGCCCTGACACAAATGCTGTTTGTGAGCACATATTAAGGGTGGGGATGGTGTGGCCAAACCGTGCCTGGCCACCTTCGCCTCCTCAGTGCTGATCCATGCCACACCACACCAGATGCTCATTTAAGGGGAGACTTCAGGCTGGTTCAGATATAATTTGCCACTGATGTCAGCCATGGCCGGAGACAATCGAGCTGTTGGGTTCATAGCACATCGCTCTTAACCACTAAACCTCCCCTATCTCCCCAAACATCAAACAACAAAGACACACACACACACGTTTTACATGTGATCAAATTTCTCCTCCCATAATTTCAGCCAAAGAGAGTAAATCATTTGGATGGCACTGGACAAACATGTTTTTGAAATGTGTATGGGGAGGCAACACCATTCCCAGACCGTAAACTCAATCTCATCACCTCCCGTGACACGACGGTAAGGTCACCGCCACCTGTCCTGGCTTTCCTGCAAAGTCCTCTTTTTTTAATTGTCCTGGGAAACATCAGAAGTCCCGGTGCTTATCAGTTGCGGAATAATACGTCGCCCAAGACACTGCATTGACATGGAGTGCTCCCCCCCTCTTCTGGTTACTGTGAGATATTCTGTTCCTCAAATCTTGACTTAAAGCTTTCGTGACTGCAGGAATTCATACTCTTTGGGTCTTTCGGTAAAGCCACGTATTATGCTGTATTTTTTCACCTGATGACGATTGCTTGTGTTGCGATCGAAACGTCGTGATATTTTGTTTTTTTCTATCTACGTGGCTTTACCAAAAGACCCAAAGAGTATTCTGTTCCTCGTTACATATCCCGATTTTTAAGCCTCAAGCCTACACCACGCTCACATGCTCCAAGAACTCTCACTTACTTTCTTTGCCAAGAGGAAGCAAACAACATCCAAGTTTCCCATCCCAGCTGCGATGTGCAAAGGATTCTGGGAATATGTGTCGGTTGACAGGAAATGGAATTTGCCAGTTTCCTCAAGGTACTTCAAAGCCAACCTGTTGAGAGAGACGTGTTTTTTTAGCACCAAGCACACAGTTAATAGGTAAAGATACAGGCAGACAATTTGCTTGCTCATGACACTGCTGGCAGAAGGGCGTCCAACTACAGTGCTAGAAAGCCCCTTAGAGAGCTAGTCTTTAGGCATCAAGCACATGGTGAATAGTGATGTTTAATCCCTTGGGCCAGAAAGGATGTCTATTTCGGATCTCCCTTGAAATGTAGATATATGATCTCAACGGACACTAATCTCGATATATTGCTAAGGACAGGTACAACGTGTAAACACGATTCCGTCTGCTTGTGTCTTAGCTGGTTATGAGTGCAGAATGTGCTGGCAATGACGAGGGCCGCCAATTTTAGTGGCCACACTGGTGCACTTAAAATATGCATGCTCTGCGAGAGTTACGAAATGAATTATTAACTTCACGGCAAAGTACGTACATGTACGGCCCTTTGTCAACCCACTGCTGGATAAGGGCTTCACCATGCCATGTGAGTAGTTGGGGTTATTTGATCTGCTTCACCACGCTGCTCCACGTGGCTTAGTGAAGGGGCAGCATTCAAGAGCAGTACAAATGCAGACCACACTCCATTTCCCGTCTACTGCCCACAAAGGAGGGCAGCACCGCAGCCGCCCACGACAGCCTGACATGCATGGTGGTCAACCATCCGAGCAGTCGTGTATTTGAGTGCAAAGCTGCTTAAGGTTCCAGCATCCGATAAATTCCAGGTGATGTATACATGAAATACAACTGTGAAAATGCCAAACAAATGTAAAGATTTCGTGACTGCAGGGATTCATCTTCTTGGTTCTTTCGGTAAAGTCACGTAGAAGGGAAGTAATAAAGTAATAAACATGAAACATAATAAAATAATTCTCATGACGTTTCGGCTACAACGCAAGCAGCCGTCTTTACCTGAAGACGGCTGCTTGCGTTGTAGCCGAAACGTCGTGATAATTATTTTATTATGTTTTATTTTTATTATTTTATTACTTCCCTTCTACGTGACTTTACCGAAAGAAACAAACAAATGTTAAGATCCCGGGGCTATTAATTTCTCAGCATGCAACATCAAGTGGCCATGGATAGTGCCGGGTCTCTCACACGCTGCCTCCAACGGTGGCGTGGTGCAGGCCCGAGCGGCCGTACTTGTCCAACAGCGTGACGTCGGCGCCACTCTGCACAAGGCGGTGGATGATCGCGACGTTCCCCCTCCTGCGAAACAGCATCGCACGATGATAGCAGAGGCAGCAGCAGCCGATAGCTCAGCGGTCGGGAACCTATGGCTCACGAGCCATACATGGCTCTTCCGGTGACGGCATATGGCTCCCAGACAATTTTGAGTTGAAAAAAATAAAATAAAAAAATCAGTTTGGAACTGATTTTAAAATACTTGTGATATTGCTTAATGACACTGTGTCATTTTAAAGTAAACATAAATTAGTTTTGAAGATAAATTTCACGGGTCACGGGGCCTCAACGCCTGCATGAAGCTCAACCTCACCACGTACGAACCAGACTACAAGGCCATCAGCAAAACCATGTAGCACCAGAAGTCGCATTAAAAGTAAGACATATTTAATTTATTATACGTTAAAAATACTATAAGGCTCTCAATGCCATATATTTAGAAATATTTGGCTTTTATGGCTCTCCCAGTCAAAAAGGTTCCCGACCCCTGCGATAGCTGTTTGTACCGCACCTGTCAGCGAGCCTCATGCATTTGTGTTCATCATCATCAACATCAGCCGAATAACGAGAGTGGCATCCAAGGTTTTACTGTATTGGCGAAATATGAGTGTGTAAAACCAAAATCAGGCGGGTGCGATATATGATAAGAGCTATGTGTGGTGGTCAGGTGTCGACCTAACAACTCTAGGATCCAATCTAAGGGTGTGATGGTGAGTGAGGTGTATTCGTTGAAACTTGATTGGCCACGATGACCTCTTGACCCGGGAATATGCGTACACGCAAATATAAGTAGGCGGAAAGGAGGATTAACTAATCTTAATCAAATGATTAAGCTATTAACAGATTATCTTGGCTGTAGAACATAATCACTAGTGCTTACAGAGCTCAAGCAGTGCCATTAGCACTACCGTACAAGGGAACGAAGGCAGTGCAGTGGTCAATGCATCGCAATATGAACTCCGTAACCCGAGTTAAATTCCCTACCACGGCGAACATTTTCTAGGGAGTGATATTGAAACAGACACTCGGGACTCCCCTTCACTACCAGCACTGATCAGTGAATCAACCCCCGATGACCAACACGGCATAAAGAGGTCACCATGAAGCCGTCGATTGATAAAAGGTTGAAAATTATTACTATTATAGCAGACGCAACATATGACAGCCTAAAAGGTCCAACGTTTACATGTATAAAAACATCATATTCTCCATGTTTTCATCCACACGGCAGAATGAATGATAAACGTGGCGATGTATTTATTTAATGCCAATTAAATGTTCGTTTACAAACTACATTCAAAATGATGTTGTCCTTTTTGGGATATAAGATAACGTTTTCTGAGTTGATCAAAGTCCTGCAGTTTGTCCACTAATGAGAGCCATCAAATTGCTCCATTGGCAAACACATAGTAATATCGCCCCCTACTGGCGATGCTGGCAGGACCCTCCTGAAATAGTCTTGAGACTCGGTGAGGCTTTCTTGGATAAATGTTAATGGGCGGACGACATAAGCTCGTTTTCCCCACCGGCAGGCAAAGTGGAAGGGCGTCTCTCCGGCGTCGTTGCATAAGTTGGGGTCGGCCTCGTGCTGCAGCAGTGCGGCCGCGATGTTTACGCTGCCACGGAAACACGCGTGGTGCAGCGCTCCCAGTCCGCTCCATCCTGCAGATTCGTGGGAAAACAAAGGCAACGATGCCCCGTGTTGTCTTAACAGACTGTTGGGGCAAGTGCTGTTAGCGAGCACCTTTGAAGGCCGACACCAGAGGTCACAAACCGGTTTTGATTCCTTACCCGTACCCGGCCGCACCAGGGTCGCAAATGGGTACCCGTACCCGGCCGGGTACGGGTAGCCGGGTATCGGGTAGGGTACGGGTATCGGGTACCCGGTTGCGACCTCTGGCCGACACGGCACACGAGAGGGTGAGTGGTCAGCACCGCGCCCGGCCGCTTTTGGCTCCCCAGTGGCGATGTTTACACACCGCACCAGGTACTCATTTTGAGGCTGAGTCGACCTAAGGGAGGCCCATAACCAGTTCAGATAATCGTCACTGGTGTTGCCGTGAGCGGGAATCGAACTCGGTTCGCCGGGTTCGTAGCGCAGTGTGCTAACCGGTGCAAAAACAGGCACACACACAGATCCCCGGTGAGGCTTAGAAAATGGGATTCCATTGAGAATAATGGGAAGCAAGTTAACTTATTCAACATGGAATTGCCCTCTTTTAAGTCACAAAATTGTAGTACGATTAACCTGTTTCCCCAAATGCAATTTTGTGTCCTCTTTTCACAAACCCACCGGTGCCAACGTGCCCTGATTTGCATGAGTTCAGTGCAGTAAAATCCACTGTTGTACTGCACTTTTATGCTTCCACGTCTGTGTCCTCCAGGGGAGGGCCCCTCCACCATCCCCAACCTGCACTGGCGAGCGTGGTTTAGGTACGATGGAATAACCCCCATGGTCCACACGACACGACGAATGGGCCCGTACATTTGCACTGCTGGTCATGCCATCCGACAGTTGCACTCAGCAATTGGAGCGCAGGTGATTGTTGCTTCAGCAGCCAAGGTGTCAAAATACAAATGTGTTTTCACGTGTGGTATTGACGACGGAACAGTTGTACACAATACTGCACTCAAGTGCAAAGGATGTAGTCAACACAGTACAGTATATTCATGTTACATATACCACCTATTTACTTGTGAGTAGTAATTTAACAATCACGGCGCTGTTTTATCTTATTTTAAGGATGTCTCAAAGAGCATATTAATAACGTGTTTGCCATTCATGTTTTATTGAGCATGCCTACTGCATGAATGTATTAAGCATAAGGCCATGCAAACAGATGAAATAAATTGTATTTAGAAGCAGCTGCAGGAGTAAAGGTGCTCATAACGATGTAAAGAACTAGACAATGTCCATGAAATGTCAACATTTAAATCTTACACATTTTTTCACCCCAAAATTACCAGCGGGGTTTTTCCCCCTTTATTTTCCAAAAATAATATTCTCTGTCAACTCCAAAAGTGAATCAGATGCATGGGAATTAATTGATATATTTCTCAAGGATTGGCGTCGTTAAATATGTAATTGATTAAAAAAAAATCTCGGCCAACGGCAATACATGGGTCGTACATAACTCTTCACCACTGGTAAAGGTCTCTGGTTCCTGTCAGAGAGATTGGGCCCTTACTTGAATGTACAATGAGAATTACTCAAGCCACTGTATATGACACGGACGGATAAAGTACACTTCTTACATTCAAAATTGCCTAAGTTCAAATCACACGGAACGTGCTCTATCTCAGAAGCTAAAGGGGGATGGGCATGGTCATCCTTTGGATTGGCCATCGCCATTCCTTTTTAATTGGAATCCAGAGCGACTTGTCTGACCGGTTGCAACTGATTGCCATTAATCACGTCTTCTGAAAAGACCCCCATAATGAAGGGGGGGGGGTTCTGCAAGCCTCCATGCTTGGCCCTATCCTGGGCACCCTGTTTGTGAACAATCTTGGTATCTCGAACTTACACTCTGTCATTAATATCTTTGCCGGTGGTCTCTGGGAAATGAATGAGCTGTTCAATCCACAACTCCAGCTTAATGTGTTAAAGTTAGTCCTCAATGCTCAAAAAAGAAAAAAAGTCTTGTTGTTCTCCAGCTATCTCCAAACATAGTTTGCCCATTCTGAGAATCGTGTCCCTGGACTCACATCCTATTGAATAGGTCAATAACTTTTAGTATCTAGGCATCATCTAGGACTCAAAACTGTTCTTCAAATCCAACATCAATCATATGGACAATAAGATCAAAGCCAAAATCGGTTTGCTCTACAGAAATAAACACAGTCGTATCGCACCTCGGCTCCGTCCTAATATAGCTAAAGCCACCAATTTCCCCATCTTTGACTATTGCCACATCTACCACCTTAGCCTTCAAATCACTCTAATACGTCTCGTTCTGTGATACCACTCGGCCCTCTGCTTTGCCCTTGATGCCCTCCTGTAGTAGGGCCCATCATTGCGACCTCGATGTCGCCTCCAATTTGCCCCTCCTATGACATCCAAAGAAACCACCAGTTGCGATTTAAAGCTTTCGTGACTGGCAGGGATTCATCTTCTTGGTTCTTTCGGTAAAGTCACGTAGAAGGGAAGTAATAAAATAATAAAAATAAAACATAATAAAACAATTCTCACGACGTTTCGGCCACAACGCAAGCAGCCGTCCTCAGGTGAAAACCAGGTCCGTCGAGGCGACAGAGTCTGAATGAAACAGCACACGAGCTTGGAGCATATATATAAGCTACTCCAAGCTCGTGTGCTGTTTCATTCAGACTCTGTCGCCTCGACGGACCTGGTTTTCACCTGAGGACGGCTGCTTGCGTTGTGGCCGAAACGTCGTGAGAATTGTTTTATTATGTTTTATTTTTATTATTTTATTACTTCCCTTCTACGTGACTTTACCGAAAGAATGAAACAGCACACGAGCTTGCTGTTTCATTCAGACTCTGTCGCCTCGACGGACCTGGTTTTCACCTGAGGACGGCTGCTTGCGTTGTGGCCGAAACGTCGTGAGAATTGTTTTATTATGTTTTATTTTTATTATTTTATTACTTCCCTTCTACGTGACTTTACCGAAAGAACCAAGAAGATAAACCACCAGTTGCCCGTCTTCACTCTCATTTTAAACAAATCCACTAAATATCCAAAGAGTCCTCTCCTGTCTCCGCAACATTCCCCATCCGCGGCATCAAAAGCAAACTCCTTGTTCTTACTGAAAAAATACAAGCTGTTACAACGAATTTTTGGCGACATGCCCTTCCACGTTGCAGGCCCATGTTACTTGCTGGAATGCCCTTGTTGCCTCTCTCAGCTGGGACTCGGCTCCCTCCCCTCCATCCATCATTTCAAATAACTCCTAGCTCAAAATGCAGTTTTTGGCCCGCAACCTGCACCCAATTCGTTTGCTGTTACTTTTACGCATTCCAGCGATGGTTGTTTTTATTCGCTTGATTGCGCCCGTTTCTCCTTGCACACACCTCCTTTCCAACCATTCATGACCTCATCCTTGTTTTTGGTGAAGTATTCGTTTATATTGATAACAAACAAAACACATTATTTAAGCACTACTTTTGCCTGCACCTCCGACGCGTTCTGTTCGGTTGTTGCCTGTTCCTCCATAAGCATCACTGTGCTGATGCACCACGGATCTCTCTTGCAAACTATAGCTGGGTAGCTGTCTACACGTGAAATGATAAACATGGGTGCCTGAAACAGGTGTCATTGGCTGCCACGTGGCTATGTCGTCGTGAGATGGCGATACTAGCCAAAATCCATTATTGTATTAGACGCTCTAAAACATCAATGCTGCTCGCCTACACCAACTCGCACTGCACAACGCGAAGTCTGTTCATTTACAAAAAAAAAAATCGGAATTAGAAGATGTATTTATACTGGTGGAATCCGATGAGATAAAAAGCTCTTTTTCACAATATGTCGGGGCAGGTAAGAACGTTACAACAACAAACAGTACAAAATCCATGCTATAATACGTTATGGAGAGGCACTCATCCAGCCGTGGGTCGACGAAAAGTATGGTACGGCGCATGTGCTGAAAGGGCACTTTAGTGGCTTTATGGACGCCTGGAATCCAGCACTTTGGCTCCGAGGGTTGGTGGGTCGCACAAACGTGCGAATACACCCTCCCACCCCCCTTGTACGCCGAGACTGCCATCTCCTACTGGATGGCTTGCTGGATTCATTTCCATCTGTACGGGGATGAAACATTTTCCTCGCACGCACGCGTGGGGTTTTTAAATCCTTTATATTAAGTTCACTTGCTTGCTTGCTTGCGCGCTTACGACCGTGCAAATCTTTCGGTCGTTTTTTAACCCACTTCCCGTGATCCAATCGAGCTGACATTTTGCACACAGAATCGTTGTGCGTGACAATTTATTTTCGTGAAAAATTTTTCCCAAAATTTTACACTTTTTAGGAAAAAATAAATTATATTTAATTACCAATTGTTTAATGGTGGCAGGCAATCATCTGACCCATAGGTGGCAGCCATCTCAAGCCAGAGGACGAGAGGACTCTAGCCGCCACGCATATAAAAGATTTATAGTGAAAAACTTTGTTTTTACGGGTTAATTTTTTTTTCCCTTTGGGCGCTTCCGTTTCCTCCCAAATGTGGTGATGGTGGTGGTGGGAACTGCGAGCAAAATTAGAAATTCTACAACGTTCCGAGATTCAATTTGCACGAATAACACGATATATGAAAAGCATGCTTTTGTATTATATACAGCAACATTGCAGATAAGCCCCTATCGGATATCTGTAGGGGGGGAAGCTTTACAGCTAATCGGATTCATCCAGTATAAACATTTTGATAAATAAAACACAGGACGGGTGTAGAGTTTCCCACCACGGCCACCAAATGGTGCGAGACGCAGAGATTGACCGGTCTCCGCTGTGATCCTCACCCCTGACGTTCACTTGCCCGGGATCTTGGAGCAAGAGGTCCAGGCACGCTTGCAGATCATCGCCTCGGATGGCCTCCTCCATGCAGGGCACCACCTTCTGCTGGGCCGCCACCCTCGTCGCCGCCGCAGGGTTCGATTGCTCCACGGGATACAACATCGCTCGCTTACCTCCCCGCCCGCTGCTTTTCTGCCTTATCCCTTTGATCAGCCGCACCGGCTAAATGACTTTTGTTGTATCTTGATTTGAGTGTGTGTGTGTGAGACTCTAATCGACGAGCGCAAGCAACGCGTCAATTGCCTACGCGGCTGTCAAGGCGCGTTTTGACGAGTGGAGGAGGCACGGGATGAGTGGAGGAGGCACGAGGTCGTTCGCAGAGGTGGCGACGGCGGCACGGGCGTTTGGCCATCGTCAGCGGCGGGACGTCTCCACGGCACGCAACGGAACACCCCCCCCCCCCTGGGTTTAGCCGATCGCACGCATTGCCACTGATGACGGGTGTGTGGTGTGTAGTGTGGTGTGTGTGTGTGGTGTGTTCCTCCTCCTTGTCACGGAATACAAAACATTGAGCTGTACCAGAGCATGCACGCACACAGCCGCCGATTACAATACAGATTTCCTGTTGAGTGGTGTGGTATGTACAGTATGCATATATCGATGCACCACTGCAGGTGTCCTTGTGCCCGTTTCTAGTACGTTAATCGTCACACGACGACTGGACCGTCATGCCATTGCCATACAACAAGAGACACAGGGATTCGCACAGAGACTCATCGACTCACTCGCACGTAGACCTGCAGACTCGCACAGAGACCCACACAAACACACAGATTCACTCACACAAACACACAGATTCACTCACACAGAGAGCCACAGACGCACACACGGAGACCTGCAGACTCGCACAGAGACCCACACAAACACACAGACTCACTCACACAAACACACAGATTCACTCGCACAGAGAGCCACAGACGCGCACAAGGAGAGATCCACGGACGCGTACACGAGGACCCGCAGACTCGCACACGGATACTCGCAGACTCGCACAGAGACCCACACAAACACAGACTCGCACAGAGACCCACACAAACACACAGACTCACTCACACAGAGAGACCCACGGACGCGCACGGAGACACTCCATAGACCGCATGCGGACAGCGCGCCCGGCTGGTGTGGCAGGGAGCGGGTCACCATGCAGCAGGAGCTCTTCCGCTTGCGTTATTGAAAACGGAAAGAGCGTCACCGGGTGCTATTGTTGTTTCAGTATTCTTTTGAATTGAACACGTTAACCTAAGTTGTATTTTAGTTTGGACACGTACTGGTGGTATTAGCGAGAGAGGAGTTGGGGGGGGGGTGATGCTGATGAACCACGTGCGTGCGTGTGCGTGCAATGTTCCCCATCCGTGCGGAGTTCGCGTGTTTACGGCTCGAGTCGGGATGATGGAGTTCCCTTTTGCGGGCTCTTGAGACGGGGTTTTTGCCACAGGAGGGAGGGGGGGTATCGGCAAACCCAAATAACAAGAAGTGCTGTTTTTTGCGAACTTGGGGAAAAAAAACCTCAATATTTCAAGATCCGCGATGCACGTCGTGGTCGATACGAGACGGCGGGCTCCTTAATAAATAACGCGTCGCGAAGCGGTCCTTAAAAGAGCCGCAGGTTGGTGACTCGTGCCAATGGTGAACTAGACTTACGTGGTGAATTGGACTACCATGGTGAACTGGACTTCCTCTGGTCAAGCGATTGGTCAAACAAAATAACAATAATAGCAATTTTTTTTTACAAATTCGGTGAACAACAAAACAAAAAACGCCCTCAATATTTCAAGAGTCGTATCGCAGTTCTTTAAAGAGCCGCATGCGGCATCGGAGCAGCAGTTTGCCGACCCACTTTGTTCTACACGGACTCAAAACCCCCGTAATATTAGTCACTCAGACCAGTGCCGCATTAAGCTAGTGCGGGGCTTGTAGCTTATGTTATAAAGGGGCCCTACATGTTTGTTTTTAACACGTAAATATTAAAACATAATGTTTTATACTTACACAGCAAAGTAATTGTATTTTTTCATTTGCTATACAGCCAGATAATACGACAAATCGCTAACCTTATGAACGACCGAGTCGTTCATAAAAGTTGAAGGTAGTATAGTACTATAGTAATAGAGCAAGTGCAGAATCACTGAACCGGAATTGATAGTTTTAAAGCATTTAGCGCGGGGCCCTTGAAAGTGCGAGGCCCGTAGCATCTTCTACTGTTGCTACTACGATAATCCGGCACTGACTCAGCCTGGGCCTTACACAAACGGAGCCAGAGAGAGTGCAGCTAACGTTCACATACCTATTCCTGGTTCTTTCGGTAAAGTCACGTAGAAGGGAAATATTTTATTATTTTATTATTTCCCTTCTACGTGACTTTTCCGAAAGAACCAAGAATATGAATCCCTGCAGTCACGAAAGCTTTAAATCAAAAGTTCACATACCTGTCAACCCCTTATCAGCGCCTACCTTAATTACAGACCCATTTAGACCTTATTGGTCACCCCGTGCCCTTTATACATCTCAACATTCACCCTACAAAGTCTCATCACAAGGGAGAAACACAGACACATAAGACATAACATTTGCCCATATCCAAACGGTTGTACGCCGTATGGACCTGAAAACTCAATTTCCCTGTACAAGAACACGGGTAAACCCTATGGGTTGAGAGCTCTGCGTTCAACGTAATGTCACGAAGCCATTAATTCGTGCCACCCGAACACAACTTGAAATTTCTCCCGACTGTCAAATCCGGACAGGTGGCAAACCGCAGCTTACCCCCCCCCGCCTCCCAGCACAAGATAAGACAGAGGTGCTGTTTCCAGATTAAAACAGTTAAAGGAGAAGCCCTGCACTTACTTTGCTCACGACACTGCTGGCAGAAGGGTCTCCACAAGAGGGAGCTTTAGAGTGGGGTTTTTGGCCTACTCTTCCACGCCAGGGAATGTAGACGTCTTGGGGGGCCGTCCATAAATGACGTCACGCGATTTTGGACGATTTCTGACCCCCCCCCCCCCTTCGTCACACGGCGTCACAAAAAGTTAGACCCCCCCCCCACTCAAATATGACGTCACAAAGCTCTGCCCCCCCCCCCAAAAAAAATAAAACATGCTTCAAATCGCTTTAAACTATTGTCATTGTAGTGCGTATTTCATGTGGCGCTGCACTCTTATGTTGTAGGAGAAAACATTTATTAAAACGTCTATTTAATCAAGTAGAACGTGTTATCTACATTTATTGAAAGTTGCACATTTTGATGTGTCGTCACATTTCTCCCCCCCCCCCCTCGTCACAAATGTCTGACCCCCCCCCCCCTAGGTGCGTGACGTCATTTATGGACGGCCCCTTGTTAGATGCGAGTGCCCATGTGTCGCCCCACCGAACTCGGTCGACCTGCCGCTGATCGACTGTGGTGTTGTACCCGTTAATTTCAGTTTCATTTTCAGTTTCATTTATTTGGTATAGCCCTGTGAGCCATTCGACTCTTGAATAGGGTGCAACCGCAACAAACAAAAAACTAAAACACATGAACAAGAAAACATCTTAAAGTGACTATGCGCAAACAGAAAAATCCAGGGAAAAAAACTGCAAAATCTTCCAGAAAAAAAGCACCGTACACCAACGCTGTGTGCAAAAGTCCCAGTGGGATGCAAGTCAAACAACAGACAACTTAGATTAAGGCCATCAGTCTAACTCCGTACTACAACAAACAAACATGGCTAAATCACCAAAATAAAGCCATGAAAGCAATAATACTCCTGGGTGGACTGATGGGAGGATGTAATAAATGCGCTCTTGATTTCAACTGCCGCGCGGGTAGAACGAACCAACGTAGCTTGTGGATTGCAAAGTCGAATCCGGTGTGCTAACCGTGGCACGGCAGCTGTATGTATTCGCTATCATCATCATCATGAGCCATTATCTACACACAGCTGGATGTAGTTTTTTATTGCTCATTGCCAGGAGTTCTTACTCCAGCACAAAATAAGGTGAAGATCATTGCAGTACTAAATATGAAAAACGCTGCAGTAGCATTTTTGCGTGTACTGTATTAACAGGACCCTGCGGGGTGGGCTGGTAGGAATAATACTTAGTACCGGTACAGAGATATCGACCAGGTATAGAGGAGTTAAAGAAAAAATTACTGTATTCTAGTGTAACGTTAATTAAAAGTGTTTGTTTTGACAAGAAACGCTGTGAGATTTAAAGACTCGTAGTCTTTCATTTCCAACACCACCCTCAACACCACCCCTCCCACGGACGGACGGACGGACACATTAATCTATTGGTGGTCTGGTCCACTTCGTTCCTACCAGTATCAGGTACCCAGTAAACATGCAAACAACGTTGGCTCAATGTTGCAGTGTTACTGGGTAATCTTTGACATCAAAGTGTGACGGTTGGGCCCGTGTATTTTAATCACCATCACGTGAACCCCATTGCTTGCGACGTGTGTCGTATACGAATCCAAAGACATGTATTCTTACACACGAGATGCGATGCATGTGTCGTGAACTCATGCATTGTAACATCCCTTTTAACCAGGCTCAAATCTTCTTAGTTTCGGTGATCCAGATGGGATCTATCGCATTTAGGGCGATTGTCTTTTCGGAAGAAAAAAAAACTAAATTGTTATTGCAAATCATTTTTATGATGGAGAAGCATTGGTTTTATGCTTTCTCTATTTCTTGTTACACTTAGCACCCACTTTGCCACGAAATTGACCAGACACTCAATTACGTTAATGTGCTCGTTTGTGTGATACCCTGTACACGATTCAGCGCTTGTCTCGTGCCTGAATGTGCAAGCACAATTGTCGCAGTCTGCAGAATAAAACAATTAAACAGTGGGAGCACAGTTGCATCGTTTCAATGAGTGCCTATTATAATGCGAATGACTCATTTAGACATGGCTAGGGAAATTGGGGGAGCCAGATTGTACACAAATACACTTTTGTCATGATTAAGATGTATTTGACAAACGAGAAATCTGTATTTACAGCATGCTGGAGATACACGCCCAACTAAAAATGTGCATCGCTGTTTTACTGCCACACTCAATCTGAAAGCATCCTTGTCACGCGGAATAATTTGTATTATTCATGGGGCTACAGGGAAGACTGCCGTAGTGCCGTAGTTCAACAGAATGCATTACATGACGAAATTACAGTCACTGTATTTAGAGTAAATGTATGCTGAATGTGATTGGTAAATGTGTTGCTTGTCAGTGTCTGGTGATTAGTGAGTAGTGTCAGTTAATTTGTAGGTTTACGTTGAGTAGTGAGAATCCAGGTGGGTGCTGAGTGTCTGATAAGGATCCGACACGTGTTAAGTGTCACATCACCTCGTCTGTAGGTCGGGTTATGCCAGTGTTATTATAATTTTCGTTATTCATGGCCTGCAGCAAAAGCTGTAGCAAAATATATAGTAGGCTTACAGCATGTGCGTTACACGTCAAATTCACATGAACTGTACAGCATTTAGGGTCAATGCACAGGGTTATGCATCCAGGCAGATGTGACATACCAAATGCAGAAATGCAAAAATAGACACACACAGAAAAATTGTAATTCAAAGAGTGAGCCTATATTTTGAATCAATCCGTATGCAACAACGCGGCCCTGCACATGAGAACACTTGAGGCGGTATTCCATTCAATCTCAAAAAGCAATAGAAACACGAGCAATTCCCATGGGATAATGATGATATTATGATGGGGGGGGGGACATCTACGGTTCAAAGTCATGATATATAAGATGCCCATCAGAGAGTTTCCATTTAGATGTATAATACACTGTTCCATCATCATTAGCCATGATCTAGCCACTGCTTATCGAAGGCCTCACCAAGCTACCATCCTCTCTCGCGTTCTGGAGATGTAAAAATACATCTAGTTTCTGTCAACCAGATTATTTCATCGCTCCATCTCTACGGTGGGCGACTTTTAAGGGGGTTGACACCTTTGACTGCCACTCCTTCATTAGTCTCAACAACCTAATGAGCGTCGTGCCGATACCCAAATTATATACCCACTTTCTGTATATGAGTAGCAAATGAGTGACATTTTAAATCTCAGCTTTTTCATTCATGAGAGCTGCAACTGTACAATATAAGGTCATGCAAACATTGCGTTGCTATAAGCATGCGGTGATATATATTTTTAGAAGATGGTATATGAAAGCAGACAGC